CCGGGGCGTCCCTAGCGTCACCATGGAAACGGAGGGATCCAGGCGCGGGACGCGTCCGAACCCGGGACGCCGAATCTGCAACTGGGCCCCCCGATTTCCGTTATTATTCTTGTGTTGCTTTAAAATGCATCACACGTTAAGCATTTAGCAGGCGATACACACCAGCAAATAAAAGCGAGAGACTGGCGTCGGTGCCCAGTACCCGCAGGAAAACCGCCGCCCTTTCGATCAGTGACAAATGACGATCATTAAAGCACAGCTGTTTAGTCTAGTTATGTGGCTACTGACCAGCTGTAGCCAAAGAAACAGACTTGTGATCGCATCAAGGAAATACAGTTAAAACTAGATGATAGGTGCTTAACGGTGTCGTTCAGAAATTCCTGTAGGTAAATGTTAAATGTATTAATCATTAACGGCTATAACCGCACGGACTGTGCTGCACATTTATACCACTGTTAGCTCCTATGCTGGTGCCCCGTCTGTATTTTATTCCGAATCAAAATATAGATGTTAAGCCAATGTGGGGTTATTCGCATCCTCAAAAGTCAAAGGCATAGAAATTATATATATTTATACAAAGGTCATGCTATTCTTCTTAGAAACAAATCTCAGAAGCCACTTAGAAACCACAACTTGTGCAGACTCGGCCTTCGGATTTTATCTACCTAAACATCTCAAGTTACTGTGCTTTTCCCAGAAAGAGCTCAAGTCGAGACAGGCTCTCTGGGCAAACAAAGAGGGGGGCACATGTGGAAACGCATGCAGCGCAATGGTGCTTTTAAATTTTTTTTGCCACGTTTAAAAAAAGCAGAAAGAAACGTAAAAAAGCGCAAACGCCGATTTACCGCGGTGTAACTCATCTGCATGCAGGATTCAAAGCTGGATCCGCAAGTACGCGGATGTTGGCAAGTTTGCCAGACAACTTCCAAAGTAACGGAAACGGCTGGCTAACCGGTTGCTACATATTTACCACGACTGAAGGGTTTCAGAAATACTTTAGAAACGACGTCTGAGGAAATAATTAAAGTTAACGTTTTGACTTACCAGCGATCAGATTTAAATAAGCAGTTTGAAGTTGGATAAAGCAAACTGGTGAACGTGCTGTCGGTGTCCCGCTGACGTGGGGGCGGCATTCCTCAGGCTGCTCATCATCGGGGGAGGGTGGGGGGTTAAAACTTCAAGGATTTAGGATTTAGGGGTGGGAGTGGGGATTGGATCAGGCTACGTGAAAGATTCAGAGGAGCCTGCGCACCGTCTCCCCTGCCCCCATCATATATCAACAGTGTATATTAATCTTACTAAGCCTAAATGATTCAATGCATATGCATATGAAAAGTTTATTAAGTGTAAGCTAATTTAATTTATGGATTTAGTATGTTAGTATGTATAACTTTTTTTCTTTTAAAATAACTTTTTAAATAAATGTCACGCTTTGTCACATGGATACAAAAGCCCTTATATCACCCTCATTAATATTACATTAATGGATGCGGCAAAAAATATATGTTTATTTAAATCGGGGATAATGGTTATGGATTCATAGTGAATCAGAGCAAAGGGAAAATGATGATTTTGTCCCAAGCTGAAAAACGCGTTTTGTCTCTATCTACTGGCGTAAGACGGTACTGCATACAATAAATAAATATTCTCAAACGACTTAACTATTTAGTTGGTTAGATGCACACTGCCCAGATAAATACAGCTCTGGAAAAAAAATTAATAGACCGCTCCGTATTTTTTTTTTTTTTTTAAAAGCTGCATTTTTAAATCCAGGTTTAACGATGGTTCTGCTGGCAGAAGACTATGCTGAGCAGCAGGCTGCTTCCAGGCTCAAAATTTATAAGACAGCAGTACACAAGAATAAGGTGAAGCAGGAGACGCTGGGAAAAACCAGAAACCAGGCAGGTAGAGGGTGGAAGTGATTTTCTAATGACAGAGATGACCATCAACTTATCCAACAGTTTCTCATGAATCAGATGATGACATTAGGTGACCTTCAAAAGGAATGGGAAACATTAAGTGCAGGTGTGAAGTGCACTGCTAGGACAGTATGTATCAGGCTCCTAGAAGCAGGACTGAAGTCCCATTAAGCAAGGAAGAAGCCCTTCATTAATGAGAAATAGGGAAGAACCAGGCTGCAGTTTGCAAAAAAAATATATATTATTCATAGACACACACCCATAAATTGAGAAATGAATTAAACAAATTCATGTTCCAAATCCAGGCCTTGTTTTCAGTTTAATAATCGCTGATTCTGATTGGTCACAGAGGCTTCACAGCTGGGAAATCAGCAGTGCTCGGACCCTGAGGACTGTGGTTTGAATAGCCCTGATATATAATCATTTGAACATCAAAATGTCATTTAAATGCATTTAAGACTTAAGTATTATTTGATATGCTACTGGAAATTAGTCAGACATGCAGTGCAGGATGGTGAGTTGATCTTGACTCCATGGTGAGTATTTAGACCAGACCTGGACATCAGATGGCCAGCTGACCTATTTTTATAGGCCTGCACAGTCATGTCCAGTCTTTTGTCTGTGTCTTCAGGCATCTCAATGTCATGTTCAGGCTTCTCACAGGAAGATCATTACAGGACTGTGTTGCTGACGTATCTCACCTCCAGTGCGAACTCCAGAAACTGTAGAATGTACGTCTGAGAAGTGATATTATAATACAATTTCTGTTTTATCAGAAATCAGCAAAATTCTGCAACATTTAAGGAAATTCTGCCATTCATTCCCTGATGTTTTTTATACAAGTCAGATCGAAGAAAAAAAAAAACCTGTGAGATTATGGCATTGATCATGAAACACTAAAATTTTTGATAAAAATGGAATGTATGAAAGCATAAAGACTGCCAGGGTGGAAATTAGGTTTCTACAGTATGGGCTTGATTATAAATGTCCTAACAGATATTGGAACTGTCACGTCCTGCCAGCCTTTCCCTCCTGTCTGTCTCCTCCCTAACGTGCTCCTGATGAGTCACGCCTGTTACTTGTTAACCCACATTAGTCTTAGTATTTAAGTACCTGTTTGGCTTGTCAGCCGCAATCTGGTCATTGACGTCGAACCCTTGTGTTGTCTGTGTTCCTCGTTCCACGCCTCCTGTTTTTCATCCGTCGTAATCTTGTTTATTTCCAGTCTCTCTTCTTTTGAGTTCAATAAATCCCCTTTTGTTTCACTACAGTGCCTGCCCTTGAGTCCTTCATCCTGCAAGTCATGACGGGAACATATCTAGATAATTTGTTTATAATTCCTAACAAGAGTTTTTCAGTTGCAAGCAGAAGCTCCTTCCTTAAACACTGTATGTAGGAATGACATTCAGGAAACATGAGGACAGTTTAGAACTTGTAATAACATACACCTGATAGTCAGTGTAAGAGCCTGCAACATACCCCAGCAGGGCTGATCAATCCTATAGCTAACATTGGTGCCGCAGATGATCATCATTATTATATTTTGGTATAGGCTACAGCGAGGGGGGGGGTGTCCCATTGTATACTGTGCCCCTGGTGGGGGCTGTATGTGACAGCAGTGATGCTCGTCTTGGGTGCTGCGTGAGTCACAAGCAACCCTGCATAGGACCATATCTTTAATATTCTGAATTTGCTGTAAAAGACATGAATCTAGTCTTCACTTTTACATAATGTTTACACGTAGTTGATGTTATTACGGTTAATTAAATTGCAGACATAAATGTCTACTCCTCTATCTTTTCCGGTGAGAAATATCTCAAATGCATCCATTCTAACCATTTTGAATCCCTCTTCAACATCTTTCTGTGGTCATTATTCTACACAGCCTTTTAAAAACATTTAACATTTTTTTAAAGGAGGGTACAGTATTCACTGTAGGCCTCATGTTTACTCATTCAAGAAACTCCTATTATTCAGTTATTAGTGCTTGATGAGACATTATTGAAAATAATGAATGGATCGATAAAAATCTCTAAAAATACTGTCTCAAAAATAAAATATTTGTCAAAGTTTAAACCTGTCAACTCAAAAAATCTGTCTTTCAAGCAGCTGCATAGTCTGACGGAATTCACAAGCCTGGAACTTAATTGCTGCATTATAGGAGTACAGCAAATGCATTTAGAACAAACTATTGCACCTGCAGTTCAAACAAGTTTCACTTCTGTCGCAGTACACGTCAGACATATTTTCTAGGTCCCTAGATTTTTTTCCAATGTGCATTTCTAACACTTTATACGTATGATTTTAGAAATTATAAGTTACTGAAACAAATAGAATGAACTAGATTTATAAATAGTGATAGGCTACTTCATTGACCCCTCCCCCTTTGGAAATTGTCATTTTGCCTATTCCATCTCGCTCCCCATGAGACACCCCTCGATACATTTATGAGACGTACATTATTAATTAGTAATATGTCGTAGTTGTATTTTTAAATGGAACAGGGAAATGAAATTGCACCTAATGTTTGACAAAGCCATTAATTTACAGTTCCACTTTGTAAGGCGATCTAAATTAACTGCGGACTTCGGGAAGGAAACTGCGCAGTCGTTTTGTAACATTCCACTTAGCATCGTCATCTTCGTTACTTTCAGAATCAAATTTAAACAGCCAATTTAAGTGAATAGTACGTATCTAAGAATATCCTTTAAATATTTACAGTTTATGTCTATTTACTAATTCTAACTTCGATCCCCTCCTCCGCACACACAAACACACTTCAGACGACTAACAAAGTAGCACCTAAATGAACACACAATACATTAATATAAATTCACTATTTTTATAGTTGGAACACGTGCAACCTTCTGTGTTGGTTGACATCCAGTATCATCACAATGTCTAAAACCTTAACTGTGAGTAAATGTCTTGATGAACATGTGGCTGTTTTCATAAAAGACCGGGACCATCCGAAAGCATTCATGATTTCTCCGTAGACGAAGAGCCCCCCCGGTAATACGCTAAGGGTCAACCCTGCCTGGGCAGTCTGCCCCCAGACCGATGGCCGCGCCCCCGCTAACGGGGCTCGTGCTGCCGTGGCTCTCCGCGGTGGGAGGGCCGGCCAGCCAATGGGAGCGGCCCACGACCGAGCGAGCGGATACGAGCGCGACTTAAAGGCCGTCGGCCGGCTCTGCTTCGGGGCGCTTTGCGTTGGGAATTGGGCTCATCTAGGGGACAGTCGCGCTTCTTTACGTCCGAGTGCATCTCTCGCAGCAGACATGGTTTCCGTAAAGCCCGTTGCACAGAAACTCCTTAGTTATGTTCCGCTTGTTCTTGTTTTGATTGACCTCCGCTACGAAGGTAAGTTCGTCTAAGATTCCCAGGCTGAGTGAAGGCAGCTATAGTTTGCTGTGAGGCAACACATATGCAGCTGTGTGCTTTGTAATGTATCTGTAAGCTGTCGACATTTTGCTTTCTGCAATATACAGGCCTGCAGCTACTGTAGCTGTCTGGGTAACTGTCAAATGTAGGTGTGTGAACAATGTCCCATTCAGGAAATCAGTGGGATCTCCTGACTAATATGAAAATGTTTGTAAACAAATTCTTTCAAAATCGTAGTCTGCGTAACTTTGTGTTCTTTTGCATGAAATGCGTGTGGAAGTGGCGGTGAATGATTTTAACAGTCATTACTATATATTACCGTATGTGATTAATGGCTACTAGTGAGCTAGAGAATGAGATTGAACGTTTATTGCGATTAGTTTAGCACTTATACTGGATCGTTGTAAACGTAAACAAAGTTATATTGCATGATTATTAAGTAACGATGACTGACAACGTTATGTCATTTTTAAACTTTTTATTATTCCCGAACAGTATGTCATGGCAAACGCTGTCATAAGCTCGGTTAAAGACTGTACGCAGCAATGCTGTCAGATTCTTTTCATCTCTCTCCCGGGACATGCCGATAAAACAGCTGGTTTGTTAGAATTGAAATCCATATTAAAAAGTGGTAATATGTAATTTTTCTTTTTGCGGCACTTCGTAATGTCCTTAATTAATTAGGTTAATAATCGAAGGATAAATTGTCGAAATACAGTTTGTGTTGGATTTAGCCCTACTGTTGCTACATCTAAAGAGTTGACATTGCAAGTTTCATTTCAGATAATTCCCTTATGGGTGGACCAAACATTCCTTTTCAGGTCTGGCCAAATATTTTGCGCGTCTGCTAGTCGAAATTTCCGGGGACAGGCACAGTACTCGTTCTGTACATTCCTGATACAGGCGTGCGATTTTTAGGCAAGCGCGTAACCTGTTCAGATCACGCTGCTTCCGGTCGTGCAGGAGCGCGCTTCTGTCTCAGCCAATCGGCGAGCTCCATATCAGCGTATTTACCGTATTATACAGTGTGATGCGGAAACTCAGAATATGTACAAAGAATTTATCTCGGCACAGATAATTATGGATCTCGCAAAATACAGTTTAGTGATCATATGATTTTTAGATGCCAATTAAGAAATTTGATTAAGCTTTATGTGAAGGAAAATTCTGTGTCAATTATGACTTAAGTGGGACCTGCAAAAGTTTGCTGAGTTGCAGCTTTCAGAGGTGTGGTACCTGAACAGTTTAACCTGGGTCTCATTGCAGGAGCAGAGTGTACGAAGAGTGATGTGGAGAGCCACCTGGAGATGGGGAAGAAGCTGCTGGCAGCTGGCCAGCTGGCCGATGCCTTGTCACATTTCCACGCAGCTGTCGGTCTGTAGCTGGACACTTCTGGTTTATAGCCTCCCTATTTGCAGTGTGTCCAGGGGGCGGCTGCTCAAAGAACACATATCGATTTAAAAACGCATGGCATTTGCATGGACTCATGTCCAGAAGCATTCTAACAACGTACATAACGATATTTTCATACACATACTTAGTGTTGTGAAGAAGTATTAGGTTTCCTACTTGCGTATGTCCCACACTGGTTTCAAATCTATAAACAAAATGTTGAGATGGGAACCTGAGTAAACGGCACATTTTTAAAATAAGGGAACACAGTTATCAGGAGGCAGCAAAGCGTCCCCACACCATCACTATCGTGCTTGTATCATGTTATTATTGTGAAATGCTATCTATGCGTTATGACGGCCACAACAGGACATCTGTCTTCTAAAAAGTTTTACTTTTTGACTTGTCATTCCTTAAAAAAAAAAAAAAGCACCTTGGTGATCCTCATTTTCTTTTCTTTTTTTTTTAACAAATGTAAGATGGGGACAGGGGTTCATGTTGGTTAGCAGTGGATTCTGTCCTGTCTTTGGCATGAATACCCAGTCTCTTATGGTTGAGCCCTAAGCACTGACCCTGGCTAAGGCTCGAGTGGCCTGCAGCTCTGGGGTATTAATGTGTATTTTCCTGCCTGGGGAAAATGTTGGCAGCCTGGCCATGCCAGGCGAACGTCACCAGTGATCTTCTTTTGGAGATGACTGAGATTTAGCCTTGTAGGCCCACCGGGAATAACCCAAAGAAATAACGTGGGTCTGCCCTCCTGTGGGCCCACCACCTGCAGGGGGGAACTGTGGAGGTCAGGTGCAGTGTAGATCGGGTGGCAGTCATAGGCAGGGGCCTTGGCGGACTGATTGTCAGACCTGGCTTTAGGTACATGGAATGTAACCTCTCTGGTGGGAAAGGAGCCTGAGCTGGTGTGGGAGGTAGACAGATACCGTCTAGATGGTCAGGCTCACCTCGATGCACGGCTCGGGCTCGAACCAACCACCTGGAGAGGGGCTAGACTCTATTGCACTTTGGACTTGCCCATGGTGAGAGGCGCTGGGCAAGAGTGGGGCTACTTATAGCCCCCTGGTTCAGTGCCAGTGTGTTTGGTAGTTTTCCCCAGTGGATGAGAGGACCGCCTCCTTTCGACTTCGTGCTGAGGAATGGACTCTGATGGTTGTTTGTGCGTACGCGCTGAACCCCAGTTTAGAGTATCCAGCCTTCTTGGGGACCTTGGAGGGGGTGGTGGAAGGCACCCTGTCCGGGGACTATATTGTTCTGCTGGGGGACTTTAATGCTCACGTGGGTAATGACAGCGAAACAACCTGTAAAGGCGTGATTGGGAGGAATGGCCTGCCTGATCGTATGCCGAGCGGTGATCTGTTGTTCGACTGATGTACTAATCACAGTTTGTCCATAACGATCACCATGTTTGAGCATAAGGTTGTTCATAAGTACATCTGGCACCAGAGCGCTCCAAGGTCGCAGTTTGATGGTCAATGTTGTAATTGTATAGTCAGATTTGTGTCTATGTGTTTTGGATAGTCGTGTGAAGAGAGGAGCTGAGCTGTCAACTGATGAATTGGATCCAGTGGTGGGGTAAGATGGCAGATAGACCTGGTAGGCCCAAACGCATAGTGAGGATGTGTCTGGAGCATCGAGCAGAGGCCCCTGTCCAGAAGATCTTCAACTTGCACCTCTGGCCGAACTTCTCTCCCAAGGGGGTCATGAGACATAGAACCTGAAAGGCCAATGGTCTGGGACTTCATTGCTGAGGTGGCATTGCAGAGATGTAGCCATAAGGTTGTCCATGTCTGTTGCGGCAGCAGTCCCCGGACCTGGTGGTGGACACCAGCGGTAAAGGGAGCTGTTGGGCTGAAGAAGGAGGCCTTCAGGGCTTGGTTAGCTTGTGAGACTCCAGAAGGAGAAGCCAGGTACAAGTAGGTCAAGTGGGAAGTGGCTATGGCGGTTGCTGAAACAAAAAACTCTGGTATGGCAGCAGTTTGGTGAGGCTATGGAGAAGGACTTTCGGTCGGCCTCAAAGGTTCTGACAAACCATCAGATGACTCGGGAGGAGGAAGCAGGGCTTCGCTAATGCTATTTATAGCAGGAATAGAGAGCTGCTGACCTCAACTGGGAATATAGGCTGGCGGTGGAAGGAATATTTAGAGGATCCAAATGATATGCCTTCGTTAGAGGAAGCAGAGCAGGAAGACTCAGAGGGGGACTTATCCATCACTAGGGCTAAGGTCACTGAGGTAGTCAAACAACTACTCTGCTGTTGGGCTCCAGTGGTAGAGATTTGCTGGAGGAGTTCTTGAAAGCGCTTGATGTTGTTGGGCTGTCTTTGCTGACTCGCCTCTTCAACATTGTGTGGGTGTTTGGGACAGTGCCTTTGGATTGGTAGGGGTGATTGGGGTGGTGGTCCCAATCATTAAGAAAGGGGACAAGAGGATGTGTTCAGCTGCTGCAGGTTTCATGGTAGCTTTCCCAACCAGTCTACATGTGTTTTGTAGACTGGTTGGAAAAGACATATGATCGTGTCCCTTTGGGGGTCATGTGGGGGGAGCTTCAAGAGTATGCGGTACGTATGTATTCATCAGGTCCTTGTACCAATGGAGCGAGAGTTTGGTTTGTATTACCAGCAGTAAGTCAGACTCATTCCTGGTGGGTGTTGGTTTCTACCAGGGCTGCCCTTTGTCACCAATTCTGTTCACAACTTTTATGGACAGAATTTCTAGGCGTAGCTAAGAGGCGGACGGGGTCCAGCCCGGGGGTCCTCAGGATCGCATCTTCGCTTTTTGCGAATGACGTGGTCCTGTTAGCCTCATCAGCTGGCAACCAGCAGCATTCACTGGTGTGGTATACAGCGGAGTGTGAGGCGGCCGGGTTGAGGATCAGCACCTTGAATCTTAGGTCGTGGTTCCCGACAGAAAAGGGTGGATTGCCCTCTCTTGGTGGGGAATTACTGCCTCAAGCGAAGGAGTTTAAGTATCTCGAGGTGTTGTTCATGAGTGAGGGGGGAAAAAGGGAACGGGAGATCGACAGGTAGATCCGTGCTACGGCAGTAATGCAGGTGCTGTACCGTTCTGTTTTGGTGAAGGAGCTGAGCCAGAAGGCAAATTTCTCCAATTTACCTTTTGATCTGCATTCCTATTCTGACTTATTGGTATGAGCTTTGGGTAGTCGCTGAAAGAATGAGATCATAGATACAAGCAGCAGAAATGAGTTTCCTCTGTGGGGAGTCTGGGCTCAGCGTTAGAGATGGGGTGAGGAGCTTGGATATTTGGGCAGGGCGCAAAGTAGAGCCGCTGCTACTCCGCATTGAAAGGAGCCAGTGTGGATGGTTTGGGCATCTATGTAGGCTGACTCCTGGACAGCTCCCTGGGGAGGCGTTTCGGGCTTGTCCCTCAGCTGGCCTGGGAATGCCTTGGTATTCCCCTGGAGGAGGTGGCTGGTGAGAGGGAGGTCTGGGCATCCCTGCTTAGACTGCTGCTCCCAACCCAGGATAAGTGGTGGAAAATGGATCGATGGATGGCTCAGTTGCTGGGGTTGTAAGTAGGGGGATAGTTGTCACTTAAAAAATGTGTTTTTACTCAGGTACTCATTTTGTCTGAAATCATTTAGTGTGACAAATATGCAACAATGGAGGTAATCAGTAAGGCACTCTTTGTGGTACTGTCAAGTCTATTGCTTGTTTTGTCTAAATGTGTTTGAAATTCCCATTGACTGTCAGTATGTGCTTAATTTTTTAACTTTTTTCTTTAGATGGAGACCCCAAGAACTATATGGCATATTACAGGAGAGCTACAGTTTACCTGGCTATGGGAAAGTCCAAATCGGCACTGCCGGACCTGAGCAAAGTCATTGAGCTTAAACCAGACTTTACATCTGTAAGTAATTCTGTATGGCGTCTAGCTAAACATCATGTAGACGTACTTCTTGTTCCTGCTCTGAAAGTATTTGGAACCCCTATTACAATCCAGTCTTGTCTTTGGGAAGACGTAATCTTAAATGCAACCAGACTGAAGGGTGTTTCCTTAATATACAGTATGTAGTTGGGGAACAGTGATGACACCAGACCTGCTTAATGCGCACATGAATGTATGCAAATGTTTGTTTGCGTACACAAGTCTGAATATTTTGTGGCTTATGTAAGAGATGGGGCTGGCTGTCTGGTAATAATTTACAGGCAACAAATGGGATATACCTGTAAGGTGTAAGTTGATCTATCATCTGTTCCATTAGTGTGTAGGAGTACACTTTGTGACGTGACGGGGGGGGTACAATGGCGGGGGGGCTTGGTGGACCTGTAGCTTGGCTGGTGTCGCCTAGATATGTTATGGCAAAACTGTCTAATCTTCCCTCAGTTTTGAGAAATATTTATGCTAATTGGTTTTCCAGTTTGTAGTCAATGATAAAATTAGCAAGCTTCAATACCCATGTAAATTACCCACTCCTCGGTTTGTATTCAAATATTTGGATACGGTTTCCAAGTTCTGTTACACACAAAGAAATGGGGGAGGGTCGATTTGCAAATGATCTGTTGCATAATGGAATAATGCAGATTTAAATATTACTCAGTAATTGCTGGGAATGTTTCGCATTTCCAGTCACTGTAATAGTTTTGGCTTTGTTATTTTGGGGAAATGAGTGCTTTAATGCCTGTGCTAAATTGCTTCCATAAAATGTACAAAATGTGCCGGATAAACTTATTGCACCTATCAGTGTGCTGTAAATAAACAGACTGAAGGTTTTGTGTTCATTACCGCTGTAGTGATGTGATCTGACTGTAAAGAGCTTCCGCTGTTTAAATCATAGTCACACAAACTGGTTGTAGTTACTTTTTCCGGGACGTGACACAGGAACCGGCCTGACTACTGATGCAGTGTGGCGGCTCTTGGGAGCGAATGTAATAAGGATGTGTGAAAGCGAAAGCTGAAAATATCGCACCTTGCTAAGTCTGAGAATTATTGCGTTTTGATTGCTTCTCGAATTGGGCCTGGAACCTACATTTTTAATAATCTTATGAACTTGGGTTTTTTTTTTTTGTGTAGATGTGGAAATGTGTATCCTGATATAACTTAATCACATTTTCTAGGCGAGACTTCAGAGAGGTAACCTCCTGCTGAAGCAGGGGAAACTCGACGAAGCAGAGGATGACTTCAAAAAAGTAGTAAGTAAGCAGAATGGGGCTTTCCACCACGAACCAGTTTTACAGGATAAATACAGGCCAGTGACTGGCTGTACGGCTCGTTCCTAACTTGGCCGACCCATGTGAAGTTCACTGTTACACCAGATGATGTCAGTATGAACCAGCGAAATGGTTTCAAAGGCTTGTACTACGGTGGTTGCTTGCCTGAAGAAGAAGAAGGAAAAAAAAAAAAAGGGGAAAATTTTATAAAGTGATTTTGGTTTTATTTGATATTCCGTGGATATAGTGGTCAGAGTAATGACTTTGTCTGCACTGAAATTCCTCTCCCCTGTGTTGTCTGCCAGAAGATGCCCATGTATTTTTAATTTTTCTACTTCTAGGATAGCAGGACAGCAATCTCTTGCTAATTTATGTTTAACATTTCATAGTTTTTTTTTTTTCCATTAATATTCTTAATTCCAGGTTAATGCTTGTCAGTCTAGCGTGCTCCCTCCCAGCCAATAGGAATGCAGCACCACATCTCTCAGCCTGATCCTCAGCTGTGGTTCACTGCTGCAGCTACCCATTAATAACAGTGCTGTGTATGTTTAAGGTGTTATGCAGGTTTTGGATGGGCCTGCAAATCGACAAGCACAGTTTGCAAGGTAGAAAATGTGTACTGCAGGAAATTTATTTTGGTGTTTTTATTGTTTTTCTCTCCATACTAAAACCAGGATTTAATCTCCCAGAAGATTGGGGGGGGGGGGCTATGCGATATTTCCCCAATGTGTTTGAGTGCCTGTCGCACGGTAGTCTGTCCCTGGACTGCATGCTTTGATTCGGCCCGCTGAGACGTTGGCTGGCCGGAATGCCCTGAGCTTATTCATGGGCTCCCTGCAAGAGCTGAGCTAGCAGAAAGCACTAAGCAGAATGCCAAGGCCATTTGTAATATATGCCACATTAGCTCAGAAAATATGACTTGTCATAATGGACTTTCATTTGCGAGTGGAGAGTGGAGAAAGAAATTCCTGGTGGTTTTTTTTTTTTTTTTTTTTTTGGATTTGAGTAGATATTTGAAAGGAGCAGCTTTTGGCTGAAAACCAAAAAGGTCATATGAAAACCAGGTAAAGGTCATATTTAAAGGCTCCCTCCCACGCCAGAACTGACACCTATATTACCACCCTGCATCGCCCCCCCCCCCCCCCCCCCAAAAGCTGAAATCCAACCCCAGTGACAAAGAAGAGAAGGAAGCCAAAAGTCAGCTGGTGAAATCAGATGAGCTTCAGCGGCTGTTGGCGGAAGCTCATAGCGACTTTGACCGGAAAGACTACGATACAGCCGCTGCCCACCTAGACGCCATCATAGAGGTGAGCGACCTATGTGTGTGCCCCAAACTGTGTTCTCACCATGGTTCCCGGCGCCTTCCTCCTGGCCGTCCTTCATGCGTGCCGGGCTGAGGGTCTGGCTTATTAACGACCTTCGGTACCTCCTTCAGACCTGCGTGTGGGACGTAAACTCCAGGGAGCTTCGGGCGGAGTGCTTCATCCAGATGGGAGAGATGGGCAAAGCCATCAGTGACCTCAAAGCCGCGTCCAAGCTGAAGAGTGACAACACTGAAGCTTTCTATCGGCTCAGCAGCATCTACTACCAGCTGGGGGACCACGAAATGTCACTCAAGTAAGCCCATGTGTGAACGTGACACTCTCGTATGAAATGGCACCAGGAACTGGGCTGGCATGCAGTGAGTTTTATTAAACCCCTGCATCCATGGCAGATTGTAACTGTACTTCATTTGCTGAGGGGTCTGTTCATGGCTGCGGTCCATTTGCAGTCATGAGCTGCAGAAATCTGGCTCCTCCGTAGCATTCAGGCCATAACCCAAATAGTGGAATATAGCACCGCAGGTATTACAATGGCTTGATTGACAGGACCTGCTCATAGTTGGTCGACTTCAATGTTTTGTTCTTGGGTAAACAGGCTTGAGAAGCAAGGAGAACACAAACAGGGTATTGATGGTGCGCTGTCACATGCGCTTAACTTCTTCCAACTTGAAATAAAAACAAAAATAGACCCACACACACACTGGCCCAGTTACCTAGAATGTTCCGGAGCTGCGTATCTGAAGACTCTGTGCCTTGCTGTGATTCTGCTGGGATTTGTGGGGAAGGAGAACTTGAGTCTCATCGCCGAAGCTATGGGATTTGGGGTGAAAATAAATCCTCAAAGCCCCCCCCCTCCCCCGGTGTACTCCAGAACCCCCCTCACCCGTGCAAAGAGGACACATCCTGTACAGCCATTCAAATGCCTGCACGCTTATGGGCGATTTTCGTGGAGATGGTTTGGGGATTAAATGGTACAATGTGTGGGGGGGGGGGGACCTCCCATTACAGGCTCCCGTTTAAAACCTGTTTTCAGCCCCGTATCAAACTAGCTAATTTCTCAATTCCACTCCTCGTAACTACAATCGGTGATGCTTACATTAACTGCACCTTCAGAACACCTTTATAATGCATTTGTGCAACATTCATAAGCGGCATGTAAGTAAACCATAACACACTAACATACCTAGCAGCTTTTAATATACAATAACAATAAATGAAAAAAAACGTATTCATAATGTTTGATTAGTGTGTATTATTGCTATTAAGGCACAATAGGATGTTACTGTATACATACATGCTGCTTATGCAGTATGAATTTTCAGCCTATGTAAAGCATTACCCTACAAGCTAATTTAGGAGAGACAGTTACACCTGGCTCTGGCAGTATGAAATGCGTTCATTTTGTACAGATAATACGCACGTCTACCAGGTGGAGAAAAGTAAAAAAAAAAGTGGCCCGATCTCTGTACAGGTATCCTGTCCAGTCGTGTCCGAGCGCATTTACATCTGAGATTGATGGTAAATAATGCACTCTGATGGAGAGATGCCTGGAAGTGGGTGTAATAGGACATCAGCGGGTATATCGCTTAGTGCCGTGTTTGCCAACCCAGTCCTCGGGGAACCGCGGACAGCCCACGTCTTTGCTCCCTCCCAGCTCACAGCCAATCAGGAACACCGAATACCTGGTACAGGCGCACTGGGAGCTGAGTGGAAGCAAAAACGTGGACTGTCCGGGGTTTCCTGAGGACTGGGTTGGGAAACACTGGCTTAGTGCATGCAGGACAATGGGCAGCGCTGCCAGCTGTGTGATGGCACACGGTCCATCTCCAACTCCTGATGTATGGTAGTGCAGTACAGGTACTTTATTCCCTTACATAAAAACAAAATGTAATATATAATAAATATACAAAGAATGTTGCCATATGTTGCACTGTCTGCTCCTGTCGTTCTCCACAATTTATGCCTTAATTTAAGTACCATCTCTTTTCATCATGAAGTGCTGTGATTTTATATTTACATTATTTGCGGTAGAGTGCTGTGTGATTATTACAATACTTTATTTATTTAATGCCTTCCTTCTGCCCTATAACAATTGAGATACGGCCAAATCGACTTGCATCTGGTGGTCCCGATTCCAAATGCAGACACACATCAACAGATTCCCGTACTTTTGTGATCGCTAAGTGCAGTTCATATGCAAGATGCAGTTGCATGTAATTTATGTGCACTCATTGTTCTTGTTAACGTGTTGACGTTCTTGCATATCTTACAAAATGTTTTTTTCCTAGAGCGTAGGAAAGCAGCTCCCCCTTGTGGGGCTTGCTGGGTATGACAGAATCCATGTTCATAGCTTTGCCTTGTGGCTGCCCCTTCAGCGAGGTGCGGGAGTGCTTGAAGCTAGACCCCGACCACAAGCAGTGCTTCAGCCACTACAAACAGGTGAAGAAGCTGAACAAGCAGATTGCGTCTGCAGAGGAGCTCATCCAGCAGCAGAGGTACGGCCCCCGGTGACCCCGGCTTCTCATTGGCTGAAATCAGGATTTCTGTCCCAGACCACATCACTCCCATGGCTGCTTATCCAATAACAAACATCTCACGCTTATGTGTGCCGTGATGGATTAGAGGCGGGAAAGGCAGACCACGATCAGACTGTTTACCCACGACTCGTGCTGAGGGAAATCTTGTACTTTTAATCATATATTCTGACCAGTATGTCGTTGCGGTTCACTGCTCTCCACACTGTGACCTTTCATTGGGACTGACTTTTTTTTTTGTTTTTGTTTTTTAAATAATATAATATAAACACAGTGGTACCTCAGAACGCAACTTAATCCGTTCAGAAGTCGGGTTCGAGTCCTAATAAGTTCGAGGTCTGAGAATTTTCCCCATAAGAAAAAATGGAAAACCAATTTTATTTATACACACACAGACAGACAGAGTGAGTGCCATCAGGTTCATTAGGTCTAAGCAAAGACTGGTTTCTTTCAGTGTGTTTCCTTGCCTGTCGGAGCAAAGGGCTTCTTATCTTTGTGGATGCCTCAGATGGGCTGCAACACACACACACACACACACGTTTCTCTCAAATCCAAGCACACACATCTTCTCTTTTCATTTCGTTTCGTAGTTCTACCGTTTCATCTATCGTACATTAAAGTTGGTCACCATGGACCTGAACACTCTCCAGAGTTGGTAATTTCCAGCTAAGCCAGACGATGCTAAGGGCCCGTTCTCCCATGGTCAGGTATGAAGACGCTGCGAGCAAATACGAGTCTGTGAAGGAGACTGAACCGGACGTGCACCACTACACGCATCTCGCCAATGAGCGCATCTGCCACTGCTTCTCCCAGGTATGATGCTTGTTTAGGTTTTGTGGGTAACGATTCGTCATAGTGCTTCGGTTTGACTGATTTTCCGCATGTCGGGGGCGAGGGGGATGTCTCCGCTCACAGTTGTTCTGCTTCAGAGTCAGCAGGCCACGGAAGCCATCGAGGTTTGCAGTGACGTCCTCAAGACAGAGCCTCACAATGTGAACGCCTTGAAAGACAGAGCTGAGGCCTACCTCCAGGACGAGCAGTACGAGCAGGGTGAGTATAGAAGATAACCCCTCACACACACACACACACTTCTCCCCTCGTTTTTCAGTCTTTGGAAGATTTGGGAGCCAAATTTGGGGTTGGTGACAGCAAAGGTTTCATCTGAATTCCTCTCCAGCCAAGATGGTTTTAGGCTTGTAAATCTTGTGCATACTTTTCCTGGTCTGATCTTGCCAATAAGTACAACCGATTGGGTTGTGATCTGCAAACGAGCCTGCAAAGCTCTAAATTATGAAACGTCCAATAAAGCGCAGCTAGTTCTGAGAGCAGAATCACTGCTAATTGGGCTTATTTCACAGAAACGACTGTTATGTCCGACGACTGGATAGGCAGTTTCACAAAAATGTGACTCATTTTGAGAGCTGCAATCAAACAACATCATTAAATCCAATTCCAGAGTGGCTGCCGCATTTTTATAGATTGTTATTCAGCGTGGAAACGTGAGTGTGCACAATTATCCTGTCACAGAAACGTGTCTTGTGTGACTGGAGACGGCTGACAAGTGCCCTCGTCGATTGTGTAGTTTTAAAAAGCCCCCTATATATAGATGCTTCCCCCCCCCCAGATTGTTGAACACTCAAACCCAGAGGGAGTGGGGGGGGGATCACTTCATGAATAGGGAGTTATACTTAGAATGGGTATAATAAGTTCATAGAAATGAAGGAATTGGGTTGAACAGACTTGTCATCTCGCACATAAAAATAGCAGTGCACGAATTGAGAGTGCTGGGTTTTTCTCGCCCTGCCGCAAACTGCACGACCCGTGTGCCCAAAACACATGACTCTATGGTTCATTGTCAGGGGGCCTTTACTACCAAGGGGCGAACGTGGTTCCTGGTCTCCACGCATTTTGAAGCAGTCTTTAATTATATCTTTGTGAGGACTCTCCATTCATTTCTATGGGGGGAACGCTAACCCCAACATGACAACCTTAATCCTACCCAACCCTAACCTTAAGCATAAGCAACCAAACAAAATACGAGACTTTTGGCATTTTTATTTATTAATTATTTATTTTTTTGATCATCTTCACAAATCTTTGTGGGGACTTGAAAAATACGAGACTTTTGGCATTTTTATTTTTTATTAATGTATTTTTTGATCATGTTCACAAATCTTTGTGGGGACCTGAAAAATAGTCCCCACAATGTCAAAAATAACAGGTTTGTATCACATTGTGGGGGACATTTGTCCCAATGTAATGTAAACCTAATTCGCTTGCGTGTGCGCGCACACACACGCATGCGCGCACACACACGCATGCGCGCACACACACGCATGCGCGCACACACACGCATGCGCGCACACACACGCATGCGCACACACACACGCATGCGCACACACACCTTCCTGCCTTATTTTTGGTTGCCTTGTCTCACTCCCTGTAGCAATAAGGCTGTTTCTCAGTAACCCACTGAATCGTCATTTTGTAACATTAAATAACTTGTATTTGGCAGTTGACTTTGTCCAAAGTAATGTACAGATGAGGATGAGAGAGCAGGACCAACCACTCCCTGGAGCAACTGGGGTTCAGGACCTTGTTCAAAGACTCAAGGATGGCATCACACTACCAGCCCTGGGATTTGAACCAGCAACCTTCAGGGCGTAGTAGAGTCTTAACCCCACAGAGCTTCAGACTATTCACATTAGCTAATGTCTGCTGCTGCTGTTTATTAAACTAATGAATTTACAGGTTATTGGCTATATGCACGTTTTGGGAGACTGGATTAATTCTCTATAACTAAGATCTGAATCCATTTCAGTGCATGGATCCTGCAGCGTAAAATAAGTATTGTCCCATTCTTCCTGTTTCCTGTTTTTCGCCAGTGCCAGTTGAGGCAGCAGTGGGTCCACGATTTCGCTCCCACTGCGATCATATTTGCTCATTAAGTCCTAACGCTGACAGCATCTCGTATCGACTGCAGTTTTCGGTGTTAATCTGTAGACCCGCGGCGACACACGTTGACGGGATAAGAACAATCCCACACAAACCTCTCGCTCCCACTGGTAAATTGGTTGCGGTTTGCATGAGCCGCCCAAGGCTGATGGGTGAACGGGCCTTTACTTGTCTCTGCAGCCATCCAGGACTACGAGAGTGCAAGACAACACAATGAGAATGACCGCCAGGTCAAGGAGGGACTGGAAAAGGCCCAGCGCCTCCTCAAGCAGTCAAAAAAGAGGGATTACTATAAGATCTTGGGAGTGAAGAGGTATGGCATTTCCCCGATGGGTCCTTTATGCAAAGGAGGAAGTAAAGCCATATACGGCTGGACATTTTTGCTGTAGCATTTCAGCTACTCGCTGACAGTTACTGCATCGCGGTCGGGCGTGGGACCGGAAAGTCTCCGGCTTGGCACTGTGCCCGCCGCCGCCCACTGTCCAGGCCTTGAAGGCAGACGTGGCTCAGGTCTGCCATTAGCTGAGCCTCTCCTGTCACTGCAGAACTGCTCAGAAGAAGGAAATCATGAAGGCGTACAGGAAGCTAGCACAGCAGTGGCACCCAGATAACTTCCAGGACACCGACGAGAAGAAGAGGGCAGAGAAGAAGTTTATCGACATCGCCCAAGCTAAGGAGGTATTAACTGACCCTGGTAAGTCCCTTTCACTCATGGTTTCAGGTGTATGGGGGCGCCGGAGAGCAATTACCATCCTCTCTGAACCTGACGTGTAAATCGGTTTCCCTCCCCCTGTTTATTATCACCCCACCCTAATCTTTCCAGTTTAGTATTATAGTCTTAGGAGGCATTAATAATGTTTAATAACGTTTAACATGAGTACTGGGCTTTACTTCCAGTCTGGTATTTGATTCCCTGAGTAATCTTTGTAACTACTGTCACACTGTTCTTAATTTTTTTTTTGGCACAAGATAGAGGATAAATATTAAGTGGAGAGAACCATCCAAGGTGAAAGTGTAGATGTTGTAGGAAATAGTTGCCTGGATTCTGTCTTTAATGTCTCATGAAAATATGCGAATGGAAGCTGTTTTTTTATAAACGCCTGGTCTTTAAAGTGACCAGCATTAACTTATGTCCATAATCATGCACTCTTGGCCAGAGCTCTGTGCAGGTATATAGCTGTATCTTATTCCTGAAGACTAATGAGAACTTTTGAAGTTCCTGAAATGCTTTTTAACTTGTTGGCCTTAGAGAAGCGGGTGTGAAATGGATGGATGGAATAGTTTTTGACGCACTGGCATATCTGTCAAGTTTTGGATTTGAAAATAAGGGAAATTTTCCGGCACCCACCGCGAGCCACCCCACCGCCCCAACCAAGCTCCAGTATCCCTTACATTCTAAGACATGTATACAAGAAATCTAAAATAACCACTTGTCATTTACATTTTATTTTCATTACACATTTTCTTTTAATTCCTCATGTTCACTCATGTGACTCTCTGACATTCACTAATGACTTATTATACAGATTTGTTGCAGACTTTGTATCCTTGCTGAAGTCGTCACAGAAGGTGAAAGTAACATTGTTTTTGGCACACAGCATTGCCATTTTAACCTCCGCATTTATGACCTGGTTAATGTTGTAAATGACCTGCAGACTACTGCTGGTGGCAGTTCTCGCGAGGCTACTGGCAGTTCCGTTTGGAGAGGCAGAGGAATTTTTTTTTTTAAATGATATTATAATACGGGAGATTTACGGGACGGCGGGAAAGAGGGGTAAAATACGGTAGTTTCCCGGCCAAAACGGGAGACTTGACAGCTATGCGCACTGGTGGTCCTTTGATTAACCACAGATTACTGGTAACATCTCTGATCCTGTAGGTTTGACTCTGGCTGTGCATTTTTTTTTTATAGAGATGAGGAGCAAGTTTGACCAGGGGGACGATCCTCTGGACCCTGAGAGCCAGCATGGGGGGGGGCCCCACTTCCACCATGGATGGGACGGTTTCCAGGGCTTCAACCCCTTTGGTTCGGGGCCCTTTTCCTTCAAGTTCAACTTTAACTGAGAGCAGAGGTGCTGGCTTACGCCAATGAAGGCCGCACTTCTGTCGGCCTGTAGGGGCGGCTCTGGAAAGTGGACGTGCGATGGGAGCGTGGAGGCTGAGAATCCAGACTCTACTCCTAAGGAAGGCCGTTGACCAGAATTGCCTCAGTAAATATCCATTTATGTAAATGGGTAAAGCCTACAAAAATAGTCTCTTGTCCTTGATAAGGGCACTTTTCAAACTAATAGCCTAACTGATGACAATAGTCAAGGAAGGACGGCAGTCCGTGTGAACATCGGTCTTCTGGATAATTCCTTCTATGCTATAAATGGACGCAATGATAGAGCTGATCTTGTCTTGTTTCAATTCTGAATGTTTCTGTAATTTAAAGAAACAGGTCCTAAGATGGCTTTAGTGACTGTCTTTGAAACTGTCTCTTTATTCTGACCACTTTTTTTTTTTTTTTTTTTTTTTACAAGCAAAATTTAGTTTCCATCAGTTCCTTGAAGTGATTTGTGTACATAACTATTTTTATATGGAATCATGCTGAATTGTAAATAAAGATCTATTTATGCTTATTTAATTAAAAGGCCTCACCCTTATCTGGCTCTTCTGTAGTCTCTCTCGCTACATAATCAGAGCCTGTCTTCTGAATTTTGCTTATTGGCACCATGTTGGGAGAGGAGCGACTCCGTCCTTCTCCCTTCCTCACCAGCTGGCCTGCGGATTGCGGATCGACAAACTGGCCTATTCAGCCGTTCGATGCAGGTACCCTGGAGGTTAGTCTTTGGTACAGAGTAGGTTAGTGCGTCGTAAGATCTCCTTTTTGAGGCCCAGATTGTCCTAGAATGAAGAATGACTAACAGAATAATGGCATCTTCACAAAAACTCTGTTTGCAGGTATCTCTGTATTATAGTGCTGTATTGAAGCTACCGGCACCGTACCCAGTGGGTTGGAGACCCGTCAGTAGCTTCTGCGTGCTTTATGGACCGACCGCTCATGGGCACAAATGCCGTAGGCCAACAGCTTGCCAGTGCTGCCTGCTTTTAACGACACAGTTCAAGTAAATTTAATTTGCTACGCTCTCAGAAATATTAAATGGGTTTCCGCTGCTGATATCGCTCATCTTTCGTTTAAGGGTCTCACTGTGCTGACGGTGCCAAGCTTTGTTTTCACGGCGCCAATTAATCACGTGAAATCAGACATTTTGGAAATTGGCTCTCTTTTTGTGTTCCTCCTGTCGTCGAACTCGTGGGCACCTTTTGTGGAATCCCGTAATTGATCAAAAGACGTCCCGGTTTTGCCACTGAGCCAGTGATAAAACGGGGGCTTCTGGCTTTAATGCTCACTGCTCAATAAACCTCGGCTAATGAAACATTCCAGGTGTCGTTTCCTCGAACGTACAGCAACAAAGTGAAGCAGATGCCTTTGTTCTTCACAGATCAACACAATGAATGAATGGTGTGTGATTGTTCTTCTTCCTCTTATTTAACATCCTGCACATCCCCCTCCCGATTTCCACCAAGCATTGTAATAACTGAGGTGTGTATGCCATTTCAGCAATAGCATTTATGACTTGTACTGTCTTTATTTGTATATGCTACACGGATTAACAGCCATTACGTAAAATGTTGAGGTGGGCTTACCAGAGCTCAGGGCTCCAGGCTTTTCCAGTCGGTCATCATCTCTGCATTCAGGTTAAATGTAGTCCTGATAATGTAATACCACAATCATATACCCCCAAGATAGCAGTATGGAGACTCAATGCCCTGTGGTGGAAAACAAGCAGGTAAAGATTGCTTTCTAAGCTTGTCATCTTCAGTTTGCTTTTCTGTCAAGAATGTGTGAGTCTAATTACTTTGCTTCCCAGTTCATATTAGGAGCCACAAGTAGGTGTCACTGCTAATAGGGGATCAAAGTGGGTTCACAACACTGCATTTACAACATGGCAGGGCTGATTCTGCCTTTGATAGAAGCACAAGTGAAATATGTTGATTCTACGTGCATCTTCAGAATTTGGTGATCAGTGTAAAAAGCTGTACTGAAATTGATCAGAACAGAATTCTGCAGCAATCATTCAATATTTTAGCTTTTAAATGGTTGAAGCTGAAGCTGAGGGCCTGAACAGTGGTGATACTGCGGCCTCTGGGGTTTAGCTCTTATTCCTGCTTTGTGTGGAGCTTGTACCGTCACCAGTGTGCACTGCGGGTTTCCTCCAGCTACTCCAGTCCCTCATGGTTCACATATGACATTAAGCTGGTTTCTCAGCATCGGCCCTTCGTGTCTGACTGTCTGTCCTGCTTTGCACTGATATCCTTTCCAGTGATATCCTTTCCAGTGTTCTCCCCGAGAACGGCCTTCCCGTGACCCTATCCTGGATTAGCAGTATGGATGAAGTTTATTCCAACCGTGGTGTCACTGTGTGAGAGCATGCCGGTTATTTGCATGTGGATGCAGAACGGGAACTCTGTGAGCTCTGCTGCCTCGTGTCCTTCAGGCGGTAACCTAGACTGAGTGGGTCACCAATACTAAGGCAGGATATGCCTCATCCTATCTGATAATTTACTGGACAGTTACACCGATACCAATTACCCTTCTGCATTAGCAGGTTATACTTATGTGCAATATACAAGTAAGTAGCTGTACGAATCATGTGCACAACTTCACTACACGAGAACCAGTGTCCCACACATTCTCATGCACTGTAAAGAACTCCTAAACTATCGGCCTCCCTCCATTAAGATGAATATCTCCTGCATGCAATGTAATACACTAGCTTGCTCAATTAGTCAAAGCATGTACTGGTCACACCCTTTGCGGCTCACTTCATGAATCACAGTGTTCCTTCAGACTGGGCACCAGTCAGAATGAAAGATTTATCACCCTGTTTAAGGCCCTGGAAGCTTTATTTTTTTTCTACCCTTCCTTTGGCTCTGCTGTGGTTTACATTCAGGAGACCTGCTGAGGTCCAATGGGATGGCTGCTGATTCCAGTCAGGCGTGGTTCTTTGACATTGATGCTCCAGCGCTAATCGTCTTTTGCCAGCTGGCGATTGGGCCATATTTATGGCGTCGGCATGAGCAGGAGCAGACCGAACAGGCTATGGCACCACACAAGCCCTGTTGCCGCCTATCAACACGGCGCTGGCATTTCACACAACCTGCCAAAGCTGTATCACCTGAGTTTTCCCCCAAAGTGTCCCTGCTTCCACTGCTGATCCGTAAATCATTGTATATAGGTGCTTACCTCTGGATTTCTGATCTCCGAGCACTTTGAGGTTCAACAAGTACTATTGCTATTTATTTGTACAGCTTTTTTCAGAGCTTTTTATTTCAATGCTGGTGTTACAGAAAAGCTGCAAGAGAGTGATATGAAATTTATTCCCATACCGAATATATAGAAATACCCAACAGAGCTGATCAGAGAAGAGGATCTACTGAACTGAATTGATTCAGGTGTGTGAGTCTATATGTATATATTTATTGTGTGTGTATGTGTGTAAAATGGGATGGACTATGAAGACGGGGGAAAGAAGTTTGTTCCATCGGGGAGTTAGTCTGTGATTCATTTCCGCTGCTCTGTCGTGAGTCCTTAGTGTCCTTAGAGAGCATGTCTCAGAGCAGCAGCGTCATTGGCTGCACTCTGTGTGACATTACCCACAATGCCCATGGAGGTCTGCTTTCATAGCTCCCGCAGGAAGATGCAACATAAATAACCATAACGACACTTTGTGGAATAAGGAGAAGGGCCACTGTGTTCCGGAATCTTCATGCATGAATATATGTATTTTTATATTTGAGAAATGAAAGCGTTTAGGGCAAGGGTAAAGGTTTTCTGTTTTTGTATTTAAAAGCATTAAATGGCAATAAAGATCCAACCTCTGTTGTGAAAGATCATGTTTGATTTCAGAGGGAAAGGCATAGAGGAAGAAAGTAAAACAGCACATAGCAGATAGACTGAAATTACCGAGAACAGATACACCTTGTTGACATTCTTATTAGTTATTAAATATGGATGGAGCCTCATGGGTGCCACAAATCACTGAAATTAGGCACCTTGCCAACAGCCAAAATGACACCACGACACTAGACATTAGCACTAGAATAGAAGCTTTGTCATTCTAAAACTAGGAACTCACCTGTAGTCAATTAATTATTATTTCTATGACCAAGCTTCAATAAGCTGCAGGTATAAAAATACAATCAAGAAGAAGAAAAATGAAATAAAATAAATACAGATGCTCATTGGTCAGATCCTGCCCAATAGTAGCTTGAGTTTGTGTAGTTTTTTTCTGGGAGGGGGGCTTACCTTTGCACATAAATGTCTAAACCAATTATAACAGGGCAGAACCCTTGAAACTCATGGCTGGCGTGATTAACTGCTGTTGCCTAGTTTATCCCAGCCAGTCCCCAATGTGGCCGCAGCATCCTCACCTACCCGTCTGAACAGACTGCTGTAGGTCTGCTGGTGCATTCGGAATGGGGTCTGAGCCTTTTTCACCATCGCAGACTGCGAACGGATGACCAATGAATACTGACCATGCAAAGACTGACATAAGAATGATTTAAGATATGAAATAAGTCCAATTGTTAGAAAGGCATAATTGATTGGAGGGAACAATGAATTCATCAATGTACAGACAGTCATATTCAGTTATAATTTTCTTCATAAAAATAATTTTTCACACTGGATAATGTCCCCAAATTCACTCCAAGTCACAAAATCCACAGTATGATAAAGTCTTTAAAGAAGTTTCTGGTGCAGTTGTACAAAAAAATGCAATTTAGGGTCAATGGTTTATACAGATATAAGCAGATATAAGCAGAAACACAGTAATGGGATTAAGAATTTATGCCACTAATATAATCTTAATGTGCACATTTAAAACACTGCTAAATCATAGTACTAAGAGTTACAATATTGTATAATTATTTTTACCACAGGATAAGTGCTTGGAAGACAGATGGATAATAATAATAATAATAATAATAATAATAATAATATGAAGAAGAAGAAGAATAGTCATCATAGTCATTGTCTTTCATTATCATAAGTAGCGTGGAAACAAGAAATGTTGTTAGGGACCACATAATACAGTGGGTCACACTGGTTTCTCATGCCTGCAGGTTATGGGTTTCAATCTCACCTCATCTGTTTGTGCAACCTCATATGTTTTAGAGGGGAAGACAGAATACAGCAAGCCGTGTCTCTTCTGGATACAGATGTGGAAATTAATGAATAGTTCACACATGGGGAGTGCTCAATGCCGAAAGGCTTAACACAGCCAATGGGGAAAAATCCAAAATCCATGCGTCAGCCAAAAGACAAGACAACGATAGAAACCGTCAAAACTGCAGGTCCATGACTACGAGACATAATCAGAAAACCTAGACAAGAGACTGGAAGCTTGACTAAAATGAATCACAATGAGAGTCAATATGTTAAGGACCGGGGGGGGAAGTGGTTAGCACTGTTCCCTCACACCTCGGGGACCTGGGTTTGAGTCTCCACCATGGCTCCATGTGTCGTTGCATGTTCTCCTTGTGAGGTTTCATGCTGAGGTCAATTTGAACTACTAAATTGCCCATAGGGGTGAGTCTG